ATGTCTGAAGATTGATCACAATCACAATTTAGCACCCCTTAGCTGATTACAATGTCATTGCAGGCTATAGTCAGCATTGCAGGAAACAACTCTGAAATTTTTCTGGCTTTTTACTTGTAGGAATGTCTCAACCTTGCAGTTTGCAGAAAACCTGACCATCTGTACATAATCTGCTCTGTACTAAAACGTTAGTTAACATTGGTCAACCTGAGCAACCTCAATATCATTTTTAAACCACATTTCTAAAATGTCTGCACTTTAAAACATGATTTTTGCAGAGGCAGAATTTTTAGTTTTTATTGAAAGAGAGTTTACAGAAAAAAAGTAGAGCATTCTTTGTCCTGAGAAACATTACTAGACCTGGTGTTGCAGTAGTCCTGTGACACCACTCAAAGCACTGTAAACTCAAAGGGAGTTCAGACAGTGATCACACGTATTTTCTCTCTCACTACTCCTATCCCTCACTCCCCTACCCCCCACGTCACCGCGCCTAGTGCCGACCGCACCGAAGGAAGAGGCCGCTCTTTGATGTGGTGGATCGGAGGAGAGGAGTGCAAGACCTGGGCAAGAGATCATCACTTCCTTCTGACTTTGACTTCCGGAACTATAGCAATGTCACAATCCTGACATATATTTTGTGATTGTGTTGCTGTCATCCAAGAGTTTGGGGACTAGTAAAACTCTGTGATTATTCGTGACGCTGGCCAAGGACTCATTCATAAAACCTTACTGTACTGTAGTTCTTTTCCTGTTGGGATTTCTAGCCTTCTGGATTGCCAAAGATTCAAGCTGGCTGCGCAACAAAGGTACTGTATACACCAAGTGCTGCGCTTCTGGCTGCGTGGCAATTTTTGGCTCACTTGTTACTGTGTGCATGTTTCAAATGAATGAAAAATTAATTTGATAATATTCTTGTGATCATGTTTTCTTTTCTTTCATTGCACAGTTTAGGTACCTTATTATTGCAGCGTCTGTTCAAGGAAAAAACTTGTTTGGTGAATTGAATCAATTCAAGAATGTAGCTCATTGCATTATAGTACAAATGAATCTGTAACTTTCTCAGTTTTCTGCATTGTAGTTGATGAAGAAGATCTGCTGCTTCTGCAGAAAAAGTCAAACGTGATAGTAAGATATCACAATTTCTTCAGACTTTTCTACATGGGGATTTCAGGAGGTATAGGGTTCATGGGTTAATGACCAGTACATTTTAAAATTATTTGTAGAAAGTTTCAAACAATATGTAAGTTTAACATGTGTGTTGCAGCAACAATCACCATTGAATGAATTTTCATTTAAAAAGGATTCAAAAAGGTGCACATTTCAGCATATAAATGTAAGAGCTAATTTCCAAGTTTTTGTCATCATTTCAGCAGTAATTTTATGAAAATGAAATTTTCTTTGAGAAAAAATATTGAAAAATTTTTAGATATTCTACGTTTCTAAAGCTATGCAATATGGACTTGTCAATTTTGTTAGAAACTGCATAACTTCAAATAAAAAATCAAATCATACTTTATTCCTGCAAGTACTGTACAAAGCATCCTTTATCCAGCAGAAATTGAGGCAGAAAAATAAGGAACATGATGTACATGGTACTTGATGGGAACAAATTGTTTGAAGAAAAATTTTCCAAGAACAATGTGGTGATTTCAATAAGAGTATAGGACATGTATGGTGCCAAGTCTATGTATTCACAAAAAATAATGGCTGAACCAAACACAATTCTAGGAAGATTAATAAAATGAAGTGGTTTGTCAATGAATAACATTAAACTACAGTACAATATACAGTGAAATCTGATTTACAACAAACTTGGACGGGCTTCAGAAGAAGCTTGTTAATTTAAATACTTTTTTAGATTGAGATTTTTGACTGATCAGAAGATTTTCTAAAAATGTAACCTGCATAAATTTAACATCATCCTTTTGCAGCCTTTTCATTTTCTGGCATTTAAAAAGTGCAACCTTCAGAAGGAAGTTTAAATGTTATAATCACAAACATTTAATCTGAATAATTGGTCAACACCAGCACTTTCTGTTGATCAAGTTTTTCTAAGCAATTTGTAAGGGCGGATGTTCCAAAAAAGCTTACAATTTATAAGCATATCAGCACAGGGTCATCCCTGTGCTATCATCCCAGCATGTCCTATATAATCTTCACCTGCACTGATTAAGATACATGCCTTTTATTTGTCATATTTTGAATATGGATGATCTTCTTTCATTAAATATAGCAAAAATTTGTGCTGATTTATGATCTTGAGTAAATTCAAGAGTGATTTCATGAAACCTTGATAAGATTTCTGTAATTGGGCAAATGAAACCTTGCACCCAAGTTCAGCATCCAGTCAACTCATCCAAGAAGTAATTCAAGGCCTAGAATATTACCATTTACAATATCCTGCAATTCTATGTTTCCCAGAACAAAAATGCTGGTTTCCTCAACTTGAAAATTCCTCAAGCCAATTTGTTTTGCTGGTCCCTTGAAATTTGACTTTGAGACATTCAAATGTAGTTGAAATGAGCTTCACTTCATGTTCAAATTCACATTTGGGCGTTATTATTTGTGAAATATTGCAAAGTTAGATGAGTCACTGAAGATGAGATGTGCCTCTTATCTGGGATACAATTTTATCAAGAAAAATTTTGACTGAAAAACCCTAGTGCACATCTTACAGGAGCGTGCTAACATATTCAAGTAAATACAGAGATAAATTTTGTCATGATTTCATCAAGAACAAATTATAAAAATTCTCAAGGGTGGAAGCTAGGCTTTAACAAGCACCCAGGAAGGTACATGTCACACCTGGACCATATGACTACTACAGCCTCATGCATTATGACCTCAATACAAATACAGTACAAAGAACCTGAGGATGCCCACATTGCAGCCCCTGAAACCCACCAATCTGTCCGAAGTTGCACACGGAGAAACTCTCACCCAGACTGACATATACAAAATCAACACCTTTTGCAAGAAGACCCCAAGACAGGGTTTCTTCATGAATGCCCCTCATGAAATGGAGGAAGAAGAAGCAATGAACATCCTTCATCCTGTCAAGAAAAGTCCAATTGCTTTGAACGAGCTGCTGAGATAAATGACCAAGTGTGGGAATGCAATGAAGTGTTTCTGCTTCATTTCACTTGCCACAAAAACAAAAATTTTTTTGGAACACGAAGTTCTCAGTCCTGCCTAAGTCTAGGTGTTTAGTGTTTTTTAACTAGTTGTGAAAAAAGAAGGAGAGGACTCACTAACTTACACAGACACGTTGTTTGAACTCTAGGAAATAATTTCTGCGTATGTGATGAGAACAATTTTGTCTCATTCAGCACCATGAGTGAGAAATTCCTTGGCATTAGATAATTGCTCCAAGGACTCTGGGTCCACCCTTTGGCCACACATTGGACAGGGTTCTGGGTTCTCCCCCAGCAACAGTCTGGAATTGTAAAAAAAAATATAAAAACCGCTTTTTCAAGGTATAAAACACAAACTCACTTGTTGAACTCTGTCTTGATGGCAGGAAAGTGACACTTGGGACATTTGGTCAAGTCTGTCACTATTATATGCCTCCCCTGGTGAATGAAAAAAACATCAATATCAGCATATATCGTTCATGCAGTCAAGTTTAATTTTTTGCAATACAAAACCATGCACAATTTTGGGCTAATATGCTTTGCATGTTAAAGTTCATTCTCAATATTTTTCACTGGTTAGTTGGTATCTACAAGAACTGAAATGTCTAGAAGTACAGACCTTTTTCTGCTTCAGTCACTTGTGATTACAACCTGAAGTTCTACATTAAAACCAGGAGAAGTGGAATAAGTGTGTACATGGTAAACGTGGAAAAGAGAGTTTAAGTTCTCCTTTGTTTCCTTTACACATAGTTGTCTAATTTTTAATAACAGTTTTTGAAGTTTAGGTATGCATTATACAGTACATGTACCTGATTTTATAATGAGAAATTTTGGACCAAGTTCAACTGATTTTAAAGAAAAAAGTAAAATCACCATCTTTACTTGAGTACATCATTGAGTGAGATACAAACTCCAATTTTTCCATCCAAAAATTGTAATGCAATCTATTCCCAAGTAAGAGGGACACCCCATTTTAAACTACAATATTAAAAATGAATAGGAGACACCAGAATTGAATTTTGAACACTAATTCCATCTGAGTGCAATTAATTTTTAATTGTCTTGCTTTTTCAAAAATCAATATCAAAAATTTCCCATCTTCAAGCATGATATGCACCTGCACTTTCAAAATATTTGAAATTTCTAGTACCCCTGCCATGACACACACCACCCAATTTTCCTCCTCAATTTTGAGAAAAACTGTGTGCAAGGTACTTAAGTGAATATGGTAGTTGAATTCAGGTTCAATTCCTGTCAAAATTGAACTTCGGGTGTTCCTATCTTTGAAATATTGGAGTTTTGAAGTCACTAAAAATGGGGTGCGCAATTTACTTATTCAAGATAAAATTTTAGACCGAAAAATCCTGGTGCTCGTTTTCCTTGAGGATTTATACTACAGTACTCAAGTAAATACAGCATAAAAATGAACATCTCCAGAGACACGAACAAGACTTGAAATTTCAGATCCCTGAACTCCCATTTCTTCATTTTTCGTTGGTTTGAGTTGTTTCTTACAGTGGCCAGGCAAAATGGGAGCCTGGTCTTGCATCTGGGACAATCCAAGTCCATTTCTGGCAAGTCTGGAAAGGCACACGCTGGACACGG